GGTTCTTAGGAGGGAATGGGGGAATGGATCCCTATGATAGTCCCTCAAGGTCCCCTATGCTAGTCCCAATAGCCCATTCCAGCATTCCCTACTAAGAACCAGAGAGACGAGGTTTGGCAGCCGAAGAGAGTTGAGGGCTTTTAGGGGCTTTTCGGGTTTAGGGTTAGGGTTTAGGGCTGAGGGTTTAGGGTTTAGAGTTGAGGGATTAGGGTTTTTCGGGCTTAGGGTTAAGCTTTCGATTGGTGGCTCTGTGCCTTTCTTACCTATGATTGTGACCTCTTATGCTTACAAGGCTTACGATTGTAATAAACAGTCATGATAAGCGTGACAAGTGCAACATGAAAAAAATCGACTTGCCGATGACGAATACTGCTGCCGCTGCTGCTGCTTCCGACGACGACGACCACTACTGCGACTGCGACTGTGTCGACTGCGACTGTTGCCACGACCACGACCACGACCACGACGACGCCTACGACGACGCTTGCTTGTCATCGCTGCTACTGCGATGGTTGCATCTTCATGGTTGTGACATGGTGGCTAGAGTCATGATTGTATTTATCACCATGAGTATGACAAGTAGCATCATGACTGTACTGTCACTAGCATCTTTACTTGTGACAAAACTGGAACGCTCCTGCTTCTTCCATGTGGATGAATGTAGAGTGCAAATCACGGGCCCGGGGCACAGGAACATTCGATCAGAGCTGCAGCTGCAAGAAGGGGCGCCCCAACCCCACTACAGAACAAACGGGCGAACGCGCGATGTGGGCAAAAGCTGAAGGAAGCTGCTTGTGGGCCCAGATGCAGGCAGGTGCACTTCTCCGGAAGCTTCCACTGGGCGTGCCACAGCATACCTTTCGTTGCCGGCTATTTATTATGGCCTGAAAAGCAACTGTTCAGCATTTCTTGCGAATAACGAGGTCAAAATCCAAAACGTACCTGCGATGCTTCTGAGATGCTAGCCCCGCAGATCTCACCAACACAGATGTTGTCCTTCTGCTTGTACCACATCCCCTGCAAGGACTGCCAGAGTTCCACATTGTCCTTCGGAATAGCCGGATTCAGATCGAGAATGCCGCGCTCCGAGACCAGAACAGGCCAGAAGCAACTAGCTTCGAGATCACTTTCCCGGTTCACGTGCTGGTCCGACTGGGGGTCACATACTTCGAGGCTGTCGTAGTCAGAAACCGGTTGTGGTCGAGAGCAACCCACTCGATCGCAAACCTCCTGTGCTGTGCCACAAAACCACATCGTAGCAGCACCTTTGTCAAATCCATCAATTTTTTTTGTGGAGGACGGCAGCGATGCTGTCAGACACAGGTAAGGGCTTGGTGTTAAGGTTGAGAGTCCGGTGTTTGCTTGCTGGCAGTCTCGGGGCCTGAAATTAAGACGCCTTTTGGGGGCTGCTTCGGTCTTAGAGTGATGACTCTTCATCTTCAGCAATAAGACTATCTGCAGGCTTTCGCAGCCTTGGGCTGGAGAACTGCATGAGCAAAGGGTTCGTTTAAGGGCTCCTCCAAGGAACTCAACACTTGATCCCGAGCCCCAAGCCATGTGCTCTTGGCCCCGGTACTGGGCTCTTGTCGGGCCGTACTGTAAGGTCTTTCCGCCGCTGCTATAGTTTTCTTGCTATGGTATATGCAGTTCTTTGCCTAACGACAGCACATTCTTGACCAGCTGATTTCAAAGCCAAGAGCCTCAGGTCCAAAACTCCCCGGAACGGTACACTGAGCAAACGCATCGTCCAAAAGCCCAGCAACATCAAACTGTGGAACATGTATCCCTAATCCCTAAACCCTAAACCATACTCCGAGACCTGTAGAGAATGCACGAGGGTCCAAGAGAGTTCATCAGGGACAGAAAGAGCCTACTCCCAAGCCCCAGCCCTAACCCTCTCTAAACCCCAAACCCCAAACCCCAAGCCCCAAAACTCCCAAGGCAAGCTATCAGCCCAATACCACTTGAACAGAACAAGGCCAGCCTACGCCCCTGGACCTTGCTCATTGGCAATGCACGCAAGAACGGCAAGCCTAAAGCCACACCCTGAACATTAAACCCCAAGCCCCAAGCTCTAAAAGTGAACATGAAACCCTAAGACCCAAACAATAAAAAGCCCTAACCCCAACACTCTGGTGCCCCAGATCCCGGAGAGGCCCCGACAACAGCGGCACAGCATGATGCAGGCCCTGTAGGACGGAATTCATGTAACCTGGCACATGTTCCGCTGTATACATGTATTAAATGGTTGTGGTCTTGATAAACGTTTTCTCACATGTAAATCCCAGTTACGACTGGATTGAAATAGACTGTTCAAGATCCCACTGGATCCAAAAAAGCATAACATTATTGACAGTATAATGTTATGGTTTGGCGCCATCCTAAGCCCCAAAAGTTTACTACACCCGAGATGTCAAAATTGATGTTGGTGCTTTGGTTTTGAACCGCTGGTGTTGCGTTGCAGATTCGTGGTCGATCTTTGTGTTCTGCATTTATTCCGGCCATAAACTGCTGTGTGGATTTCTTGGTTCTTGTTCAAGCATTCCCCGAAAACAGCGGCCGGCACAGACAAAGCTCTGGAGGCCGAAAGATCTTGCCAACAAGCCCTGCGAAATCAAAGGGCTCCTCCTGCCCAGGATCGTCTTCTGCAAACCTAACTGCTTGCCCCATATCTAAACCCTAAACCCTAAACCCTAAACCCATGTCAATCAGATTGAGGCAGTGATCTTCACATAGAAGCAGATGTTCAAGGGGCATGTCCTGATGCGAGACATGTCGCTCGCGCAGGTGCATCAGTCCATTTAAAGCCTGGATAATCAGAGAACCCAATACCCCTTAATTGAGGAATATACCTTAAATCATAATATTAAGGCCCCCATAATTTAAGGTCTATCCCTTAATTAAGGGGTATTGGGTTCTCTGGATAATCAAGCTTTGCGCAACATGCTTCGCCAAGCCGTCGGGGCTCTCATCCATAATCCTTAAGACTTTAAATGTTGGGATTGTTCCTGGAATCCTGGGGCGGTTGGGTGGCAATACTCCTGAATAGGCAAGGTCTCATCCAACTGAATTCGGGCCTACTCTTGGACCGAATAGCCTCATTGCAACTGCGATCAGAACCCAACTGTAAAGCTCCATCAATTCATTCCCTTGGTTACGGTTAGGGGTTTAGGGAGGGTTATCAGTACAATTATACCTGGGTTCTAAGTACTCTGAACCCTCCCAGGATGCAAACTCCTATCCGAAGCCATGGCTTTCCCAGACCCGTAGATAAAAGCCGCCTAAAACCCGTAAGCGCTGCGTAATGAATCCTAGGTCCTAGACCCCCGTATTAAAGGAGACTACAGGTGGGGAGTTTCGGGTTTTTGTAGGGCTTCCCGAAGTATATAGACCTTCCATAAGGCTCCCTTTAACCTGAAAAGGGTCCTAGACCCCATAGGCTTACGACCCAAGCCCCAGCACCTGACCTTCAGCTTAAGCCCTGCCCTGGCACTCTGCTGATGATATAAACCCTGCATTACCTTCAGGACCCTAAACTATGGGAATTGTGGTATATTCCTTTCCATGGGTACGTACTGCAGGATTTTTTTCATAAGCCGTAAGACCGTAAAGCCCTATAGGCCCCCAACATAAAGCCCTAGATCCCGAACTCGCGAGCTTATTGGTTAATTTAATTTGGGCCCTTGATACTTAGAATAGGGCTTTTGGGTGGTATATTATTGCCATAATTTTGGTAAGGAACCCCCCCCAAAAAAAAAGCATTGCGAATTATTTAGGCCCCTACATAATCAAGGGCTCTAGGGTTTAGAGAACCCAATACCCCTTAACTAAAGAATATACCTTAAATCATAAGATTAAGGCCCCTCTAATTTAAGGTCTATTCCTTAATTGAGGGGTATTGGGTTCTCTGGGTATGGGTAGCTCTAACAACCCTTAACCCTATAAACCGTATAAACCCTAAACCCTAAACCTTAATAGGGGCTCTAGGGTTTAGGGCTTAGGACTGCAACCGGGCCGGGACGGCAGCAGTTGGCGACCTTGGATGGTCAACGACAGGTGTGCCCGGTAGCATTAACGGAAGCTACAGGTGGGGAGTTCAGGGTTTAGGGTTTAGGGCTTAGGGTTTGGGGGTTTAGGGTTTAGGGCTTAGTTAAAGGAAGCTACAGGTGGGGAGTTTAGGGTATATAGAGCGTCTATCAGGCTTCTAGAAGGTATATAGACCTTCTATGAAGCTCCTATAACGGTAACTATCCACCTGAACATGTCCTAGAGAGCAAGAAACAAACCGAAGATCGGACACCCACTCCAGACTATGCCTAAGACAGTATACGGTTTGGGGTTTAGGGTTCAGGGTTTAGGGTTCAGGGTTTAGGGTTTAGGGTTACACCTAAGTGCAGAGTAACTGATCCACAGTCACGGATAAAGATGTAGTCTCTAGTTGGATGTTAGATTTCGAGTTGCAGGCATTCGGGTGGAAGGCGAGGCTTTTCCTGTCTGGGGGACCGGGTTAGGTTGACGGTTCAGGGCTGTCAAAGTTTTGCATTTAGTTTGTCAGTGTTCCGGGGCTCGCGGCGTACAGAATCCCTTATCAATCCCGAATCAGGACCCAAAGAAACACCTGAACATAAGCGCTTGAAGATAGCGTCCCTGTAAGAGGGTAGCTGTGCCATGCTTATACGCTTTTTGGTCCCCCCACTCCTACCGTGAAACCCACAGTATCCGAACCATAGACCCGAATCCAACAGCATCTGAACTCTCAGATGCCCCACTCACCTGAAGCTTCGGGGTAGTCATAACCTGACTATAACTGCAACTAGCTTTAGCCCAATCAAAAGTCCCCTGAAGCTGAGGTTATCATTGGGTTAAAAGCACAGGTAAGTTGATAAGTAGCCATAATAATAACATCCAAGGAGAATAACACAAGTAAGCTGTGAGGACTTCCAACAATCGAGATCTCCTCTTGGAAGGCAAAGCGAAGACAGATTTTGTGGAGATCTAGTAGAAGTAGCAGCAAGCCGAAGAAAACCGTAAAGCTATCCTAAATGTAAGCACGGCAACGTACGAGTCCTGACGTGAAGCCCGGTTCATTTCACGGCTTTGTGGGGTTTGGGGGTTAGCGTTAAGGGTTTAGGGTTTAGTTGACAAAGCCTGCCCACCGGCAAGCATTGAAAGTTGCCGGGCTGCATTTCGTAGCCCACGGGGTGGCATGTCACTCACGGAGAGGTCAGTGCTGTCGAGGAGCCTAGAATCGGCTCGGTGTTGGGAGCTTCGCTTTTGGGGTTTAGGAGTTTAGGGTTAGAGATTTAGGGTTTAGGGTTTAGGGTTCGGGGTTTATGGTTTTGGGTTGGGGGTGTCGTACCCTAAACCCTAAACCCTAAACCCGGTCCTAGTGCGCAGGCGTTTTTTGCCACGTGTCCTCTTAGGGAAGGAGCTGTGAGGATCTGCATGTCACGAAGCACCAAGCTAGGGCCACGAATCGGCCCACCTAGCAACCCTTTAAGAGAGCCCTAAGGCTCAGCCTCGCCCTTGACTGGGTAGGGTTTCATTAGAAGTGTTGGGTTGAGGGTTTCTGGTACCGGGATCGTTCTTCGGGTGTGCAGAGCCCGATTTGCTTTGGGTGCGCAGCGGGATGGATCGGAGGGTACCCAGAGAACCAAATACCCCTTATTAAGGAATATACCGTAAATTATAGGGGCCTTAATATTATGATTTAAGGTATATTCCTTAATTGAGGGATATTGGGTTCTCTGGGTAGCTTCTGATCGGAGGGCAGTTTCTGGCGACGTCGTAGAATTGGCTACCACTGTACTGTGACAACCGGTGTGATGCAACAGCTAGCACCGTAGCAACTCACTACCTGCCGATTTTCGTCCTGGTGTTGTCTACCTGCACCACTGTGCGAATAGCATTAAAGCGCAATCACGGATGTCATCATTGCTGCCATCTTCATCGAAGCCATTTTCAGCACTATCCTCCAACCTCAAGCCCTATGTTCTTCCGGTGCACCGCTGAACCCTAAACCGGTATAGCCTGAACCCCCCGAACCACAAAGCTCTCCATGAACTGTCGAATGCTGAACTCGAACCCTTGAATCTCCGAATCCTTGAACCCCTGAGCCCAAAACACGTGCTCCCTAAACACCCGAAACAGGAATGAAAAAGACAGGCAAAACCCCCTATACAAATATATATATATATGTTAATTTAGATATGCGTGTGTGTATATATATATATAACTAACTCTATGACAACCTC